CCCCCCCCCCCCCCCAGCCCCTGTTAGACCAGCCGTGGGCTCCCCTCAGCCCTGCTGGTGCCCCTCACTACATGCTGACTGAGATGTCTGGATAAATGACCTACATCTATTCTCCTAAGAACGTCTGGAGGGATGGCACCCTCCCCACTTCCCCAATGTTGACTGGTTAGAGATGGGGGCTGGGAGCCAGGACACCTGGGTTCTATCCTCGGCTCTGTGAGGAGAGTGGGGTCTATGGGTTACAGCAGGGAAAGACGCTCCCTAGAGGCGAAAGGCCCTGGGTCCCAGCCCCCGACCCACAGGGCCCCTGGGCAGCTCCCCCACTCTGGACAGGGGCCAACGGACAGACGGACAGACGGCCCCTGACACTCAGAGATGCTATATTGGCGGGGGGCAGGTTTGAAAGCCGAGGGGTGACACTGCGGGGTGCTGTGGCCAGGGGAGTCCTTGGGGGAATAGAAGGGGGGGGTGTAGAATCGGAGGAGGGGGACTCTGGGGTGGGGGCAGTTCTGGGGTCCATCCTCTTGTTCCCCTCCCCCTCCATTGGCAAAGGAAACTGAAACCACCGAAGAAACAATGTCCCAGCCCCCATCCTCCATCTGAGCTCCGCGACCCCAGCCCCACCTCTCCCAGCAGGGGGCGCTATGGGGCGCGGGGCAGGAGCGCCGGCTGTGTGTGTGTGGGTGGGTCCCGGCGACCCCAGCCCCACCTCTCCCAGCAGGGGGCGCTATGGGGCGTGGGGCAGGAGCGCCGGCTGTGTGTGTGGGGGGGGTCCCGGCGACCCCAGCCCCCACCTCTCCCAGCAGGGGGCGCTACGGGGACGCGGGGCAGGAGCGCCGGCTGTGTGTGTGGGGGATCCCGGCGACCCCAGCCCCACCTCTCCCAGACAGGGCTGGCCTCAGGGTGGCGCTGGGGGCGAAGGAAGGATCTCATCACCTGAGGCTGGTGGGGGCTATAGGGCAGAGGTGGGCAAACTACGGCCCGGGGGACCCTTCTGTCCGGCCCCTGAGCTCCTGCCCCGGGAAGCTACCCCAGTCCCTCCTCCGCTGCCCCCCTCCCCCGCAGACTCAGCTCACCCCCACCGCTGGCAGTGGGGCTGCGAGCTCCTGGGCAGAGCCGCCCTGAGCCGCCCTGAGCCGGTCTCTGAGCTGCGCGGTGCGTGGCTGGCTCCAGCCGGTCGGCCACCAGCCACCTGTGTGCCAGGCAGCGCGGTAAGGGGGCAGAGAGCGGGGTAGGGGTGGATAGAGGGCAGGGGAGTTCGGGGGGGGGGTGGATAGGGGTGGGGGCGGTCAGAGGGCGGGGAACAGGGGGGGTTGAATGGGGGGTGAGGGGTTCTGGGGGCCGGTCCGGGAGAAAGGGGGGTTGGATGGGGTGGAGGTCCCCGGGAGGCCGTCGGGGGCGAGAAGCGGGGGGAGTCAGATAGGGGGTGGGGGCCGGGCCACGCCTGGCTGTTTGGGGAGGCACAGGCTCCCTTAGCCGGCCCTCCAGACAATTTCTGAAACCCACTGCGGCCCTCGGGCCAAAAAGTTTGCCCACTTCTGCCATGGGGGCTCTTCACTCACTCCCGACCCATAGCCCCTGCTCGCCCAGCCCTGGGCTCCCCCCAGCCCTGCCGGTGCCCCTCACTTCCGACCCGCAGCCCCCTGCTCACCCAGCCCTGGGCTCCCCCCCACCCCTGCCGGTGCCCCTCACTCCCTGTGACAAAGTGGGGGATTTTTTGGATGCTTTGTGTAAGTGCGGTGCGTGCCTCAGTTTCCCCCGTGTGCTGCATGTTTAACCAGGCGGTGGGGGAGGGGTGCTGTATTCGCAGAGGCCCAGATGTGACCTCACCCAGCAGCCTGGACACTGGGTAACGTAGCGACCGATGACCCGGGAGCCCGCCAGGTTCAGGCCACTGGGAGCACAAAGGACGGCCGAGAGAGGAGCCCGGTGATGGGTTTGCGTGGGACCAAAGACACAGGACGGAGGAGGGGCTGTGGGGAGGTGATATGGGGGTCGGCTGCAATTAGCTCGCTCTGGACTGGAGATGAAGACGGGGTCTGGACCCCAACTGGAGAGACCCAGCTGGACGGGGCTGAGACTGGCCAGGCCCCAGGCCGCTGAGAACTGCCTGGGCTGGGTTCAGCCGTACAATAAACCTCCTGTTTTACGCTGGCTGAGAGTCCCTGCAGGCTGGAGATCGGGGGGATCACTTCCTCTGGGGGTGGTGGCCCTGGGGGGGGGGTCAGAGTGAGGGGACCCCCCAAGGGGGCTCACGGAGGGAGCCAGGCGGCCTGGAGGTTCAGAGGTGCGGCCCCAGGAGGTGGCGGGGCCAGAGAGCCTAACCCCGGAGATGGAGGGTGATCCTTGGGGGGGCTGTCACACCGAAGGGGGGGAGTCTCCCAGGGGCCGTACGGAGCCGAGGGAGCCCGGGGCCTGGGAGTCCATCACACGCTCGACCCGCAGCCCCCTGCTAGCCCAGCCCAGCCCTGACCCCATTCCCCACCCGGGGTGGGAGTGAGCCCAGATTGACCCCGGGGGAGCTGAGTTCAGGACACTCCAGCTGGTAACCTCGGCTGGGGATCCCATAGAGGGGGGGGACACTGACCCCTAGTGGCCAAAGTCTCCAAGCTCTACCCAGCTCCACTCCCTGCAGTCATCTGTGATCTAGCTACCTCCATAGCCCCCCCAAATACCCCATAGCCCCCCCCAGCTAGCCCCATAGCCCCTCTACCCCAATAGCCCCATAGCCCCCAGCTAGCCCCATAGCCCCCCCTAGCTAGCCCCATACACCCCCATCCCTTGCTCTCCAGGCTCAGGCTGTTACAAATCCGAGGATCTGTTCGCAGGCAGCTCTCAGCTCTCTGGGCTCTAGGAGTCCTGCCTCCTAGCCCTCTCACCCCTGCTCTAACCACTAGACCCCACTTCCCTGCCCAAGCCACAGAGCCAGCCCAGGTGTCCTGGTTCCCTTGTTTCATGCTGGGCCCCACTCCCACCCCCCATTCCCCATCCTCCTGGCCTGGCGTGGCAAGCCCCCATGGTTTGCCATGAGCCCCTAGGGCATGTGCCGGACGGGTGGGCAGACCAGGAAAGGGTGAGTCACATTCAGGGGCAGCTGGCTGAATTAATCTTTAAGCGCTGATAAAAGTCCAAGAGTAAATAAATGGGTGAGGCCGCGTCAGTCGGAGACGGAGACGTCCAGGGAAACCGAAGAGGAGCAGACGGGAGCGGCCGCCCCTGGCGCCCGGACCCGAAACCCACCTCAGCAAGGTAAGAAGGGGGGAGATTCCCTGCCTAGAAATGTCCTGGCCTCTCTCAGAAGAAAGATACCGACCCCTCCAGCCGTCTGTCCGTCCAGCCCAACACCGAACTCTTTAGCCATAAATAACCCCACCCACCCACCCACTAATCCAGGGGTCTCAAACACGAGGCCTGCGGGGTGATTTTCTGCAGCCCGCGAGCCCCCCCGCTCTCCCCCAGGGTTTACCAGAGCGGCTCTGGCCGGACGTGCACCGGGAGCAGGGCAGGCTCCCTGCCCGCCCTGCCCCGCGCCGCTCCGGGAAGAGGCTGGATGTGGGGAAGGGGGGGCGGAGGGGCTGTGTGTGGCTGTTGCTTCGGGCAGCGCCCCCAGCAGCTCCCATTGGCCGGGAA